GGCCAAGCCTTCCACAGTGATGACATCTCCAGAGCTAGGAATTCTCTCTGGTGTGATTAAACATTTTCTTGCCATGACATTTGCCACGATTTCTTTTCCTGCCATGATGTTTAGACATTTGATTCGACATCCTTGGTTTAGACTTGTTATGAGTGGAATCTAATGAAGGTTCTTCTGAATCAGGTTCCTTTTTCTCATTAAACCCTAGACCACTCTTGTCTCCTGTCACTTTTCCCACTTGAAGAATTTCATCTAATGTGTCAGATCCATTATTCAGTATCTTGAGATATTTGACCATTCTATCAAGATATGAATTCAGAGAAGTCACTTTACTTTCCAGATTAGAAATAGTTTTTAGATGCTCTTCCCTTTCTGCCTTCAGTTGAGTTATAAGGGCTTTCTGTTTCTCCCCTTCAAGACACACTTTTTCACTTATGAGACATAATTATTTGTATGAAGAAGCTAACTCATCAAAGGTTAGTTCCCTATTACTAGACTCTTCATCAGATACATATTTTCCTGTCAATGCTTTAACATACTTGGCAAATTCTTCAATATCACTCTCTGAGTCCTCTTCAGACTAAGTAACCGACAAATTCTTCTTTTATTTATTAAGATATGTAGGACATTCAACTCTAATGTGACCAAATCCTTCACATTCATGACATTGTACTCCATTCCCTTAAGTGGATTTTTCTTCAGCCCTTTTTTTTCCAAACTAATTTGACTTATAGATGTCAGATGAGATGTTCTTGACATTTGATCTTTGGTTCCTATCCATTCTTTTTATCACTTTGTTAAACTGTCTTCCAAGCATAACTAGGGCATTTGATATTCCTCCATCTGTATCCAGATCATAATCTTCCTCTTCATCTTCAGTATTTGATACAAAGGCTATGCTTTTGTTCTTCTTTTCAGACCTTTCATTGATGCTTAATTCAAATGTCAGAAGGGATCCAATAAGTTCATCCACTTTCATTTTGTCAATGTCTCGAGCTTCTTCTATAGCAGTCATTTTCACATCAAATCTCTTGGGAAGAGACCTGGGTATCTTTCTCACCAATTTGTCTTCAGGTATTTTCTTTCCTAAAGCACTGGATGCATTAGCAATTTCAAGAATGCTCATATGGAAGTCATTAATACTTTCATCATCCTTCATTCCCAAATTTTCAAATTTTGTGGTGAGCAACTGAAGTCTTGACATCTTAACTTTGGATCCGCCTTCATGAGTAGATTGAAGAATTCCCCATGCATCCTTAACTACTTCACATGTGTTCACTAATATGAAAATGTTCTTGTCAATTCCATTGAATATAGCATTTAAGGCTTTAGAATTTCCTAGAGCAATTTCATCTTATTCTTTAGACAAATCTTCTTCTAGTTTTAACTCAATGGTGGGTTCTCCATTTTCTCCCAATTTGACAGGGTGTTTCTATCCTTTTAAAACAACTTTCCAAGCTCTGATGTCCAAAGACTTTAAGAAGGCAACCATATGTGGTTTCCAATAGTCATAATTACTTCCATCCATAATGGGTGGTCTGTTCACAAATCCTCCTTCCTTGTCCATAGTACCATAAAGTATCTTCCTTGGATCTCACACAGATAAAGAGCAGGATGCCTGCTCTGATACCAATTGAAATTCTGGTATCAGATATGTAATGCCGAATCAGATGTCACGACATAAATATCTGAGGAACAAAGTAAAGTGCAACAATAATAAATGCAGTAAAAACACAAGGGAATGTTAACCCAATTCAGTGTACAATAACACCTATTCTGGGGGCTACCAAGCCAGGGACAAGTCCACTAAATAATATCAATTCATAGACCCTCAATAAACAACCAATTTACGATCTAATCACTTAATCACTACTCGTACTATACTTCTATCTAAGACTCACCTAGGTATGAGGCCCTCCTCAAATCCCTTCAATCACTTACAGTGAAGAAACAACAGAAATAATAAGTTTAAAAGACTTTAATCATTCAATGCTTAAAAGCTTATGAATGATACACAATTAACAACTGAAATAACAACTCAAGTATTAAACCAATACTTAGAGTGTATTACAAATAAAAAGCCTTAGAATTCTAAAACAGAAAGAAAATATTCTTCTTCAAAAAGTTGCACATTTTTGAATAAGGAAGCAGGTCCTTATATATGCGCAACAGTGGGTTTGGGCTAAAAAACAAATATTCAAATATTTTGAATATTTCCATGAAAACAAGCCAAGATATAATCTATAAATATAATTCAAATAGAAAAATATTCCTCCATATTTTTCGCAGCCTATGAGACACAAATCCTGAATTATGGCACGCAAGAAAACAGGAAACATAAAACATGAACTGATATTGGGTTGAGTTCAGTCCAGGAGGCAGATGTCAAGACATCTAATTTGACATCATTCAAAATAATTTTTCTTAAAATGTTAATAAATTTATCAAAACATTATCAAGTCATTGTTTTATCAAAATTGCTGCCAACAAAACACTTACAAAATTGCAGGTCTTACTGCAGTTTGATAAAACTTCCCCTTCAGTTTGAGTGGTACCTTTGCATCACATAAAAATCATTTCACCTTTCTCCATTTCAACCATCCAACTTGAATTTGATGGTTTACATCCCCCTCAATTTCTCCATTATTTTGTATTACGGACCCAAGATATTTAAACCGTGTGACTTGTGGGATAATATGGTCTCCAACTTTCACCTATAGGTTATAAATGTTTCTTCTTTTGTTTAACTTACATTTCATATACCCTGTCTTACTTATACTTAGGCAAAAACCATGTGTTTCTAAAGCTCGTCTATAAGTTTCCAACCTCTCATTTAACTTCTCTTTCGACTCTTCAAGAAGGATTTTATCATCTGTAAAAAGCATACATCTCAGTGCTAGCTCTTGGATGTGTTATGTTAACACATCCAAAATTAAGGTGATAAGGTAGGGGCTTAGAGTTGAACCTTTATGAAAACCAATTGTAATGGGAAAATCATTTGTCTCCCCACCATGTATCCAAACAATGGTCGACATTCCTTCATACACATCTTGGATAGCTCAAATATATGCAATTGTAACCCCTTTCTTCTCTATGGATTTTCACAAAATCTCTCTAGGCACTCTATCATATGTCTTCTCCAAGTCAATAAAAGTTAAGTTCATGTCTTGTTGGTCTATTCGATACTGCTCCATCACACGTCATAATAGATAAATAGCTTTTAATGTCTACCTTACCGACCTAAAACCAAATTGATTCTCGGTGACTTTCGCTTTTCTTAATCTCTGTCCAATCACTCTTTCTTATAACTTCATGGCATGTCTCATAAGCTTAACCCCCTATAATTTACACAATTTTGTATGTCTTGTTCTTATAAATTAGAACTAATCCTTCTTATTCATTCATCTGGCATGCATTTTGACCTTATAATTTCACTGAAGAGTTGGATGAGCCACTTAATATCTTTATCTCCATGAATTTTCCATAGTACAATAGGTATATTATCTGGCTCAACCACCTTACCGTTACTCATTATTTTCAACGCTTCCTTTACCTCATGTTTCTGAATCTGACGATAGTAATTATAGTTTCAATCCCTTTCTCTAATGCAGAGTCTATTAGAGTCCGGTGAGATATCATATAATTCATTAAATAACTTGTAGAAGCACGTGTTCCACCTATCCTGTATGTCTTTTCTTGAACTAAGAATTTGCCTTCTTCATATTTAACACACTTCACTTGATCAAAATCTCTAGTCTTTCTTTCTCTTCCCTTCACAAGCCTATATATAAAATTTCCCCCTCTTTGGTTCCTAGATATTGGTATAATCCGTCAAAAACTTGGGATATTGCTTTACTCACTGCCTTATTTGTTTCATTCTTAGCTTTCTTGTACTTTTCCCAAGTTTCAAATTTTTTACACCTAGACCACTCTTTAAGACGCTCTTTTTTTTACTTTAGCTTTACTCTAGACACTTTCATTCCATCACCATGATTCTTTACCCCTTGGTCTAAAGCCTCTTGATACACCCAACATCTCTTTAACCACTTTTATAATCTCTTGGACCATCTTGTTCCACATATCATTTGTACTTTCTCGTGGTTGTCCAAACCCTCCCTCCAAGATTTTGTGTTGAAAAATTCCTTGTTTTCCACCCTTCAATACCACAACTTGATCTGCAGCGCTACCATATGACTTATTCTCTTTACTCTCTCTTTAACTCTTACACCCATAACAAAAACTCTATGTTGGGTAGTCAAGATCTCTTCTAGAATAACTTTACACACCAAAAAAACATCCATATCTAACTTCCTGATAAGAAAGAAATTTATTTGAGAATATGTCACCCCATATTTATATGTGATAAGATGTTCATGTCTTTTTTAAAACCATGTATTTACTATAGTAAGATTCAAAGCCGACGAAAATCTCAAAATGGATTTACCCTCCGCATTCACCTCTCCTAGGCCAAACCCCTTATGCACACTCTCAAAACCTCTTGCCACGCTACCTACATGTCCATTGAGATCCCTCTTAGAAAAAACTTATCTCATTGGGGGATATCCTAAAGTAAGCCTTCTAAATCCTCCTAAAATTTTACCTCGAGCTGTTATACAATAAATTAATTTTCTTAATAAAATTATTATTTACTTATACACATAATAAAATGAAAGGGAGTATGTGTTAGCAAATTAACCATAGACAATGTTTAAGTGACTTTCATGAAACATAACTTTATAACTTTAGTTGATAATTTTTTCTTTCACCTCAATATAATATTGATTAATATATTCTATTAGCTAAAATCACAAAATTATGGTTACAAAACGTGTCACAGGTGCCAATGTTAAGGTGCATCGTTGGCTTGAACACAGTAATTACGTGGCAACAAGTCGAGGAAGTAAAATAAAACACTTTACCAAACCAAGAATTAGAGGGGAAAAATGGAGAAAGGTTTTGTCTTCCTACTGGAAATTTCCAGTGCATTATGGTTTTGTTAAATGGAGCATGAATCTCGAAGGAAACGGAGCAAGTTGTGTTTTGGAAAGGGAAATGATTCTAGTTCTCTCTCTTCTTTTACTGTTTCCATTTCCATTTGCAAAGCTTTGTATACCGCATCAACACCAGCGCATGTTCTCTCTGTGAACCAAGCAAGGTAATCAATACAAAAAATCAACTTTTTTTTCATAAATATTTGCAAAATGATGTTTTGGGTCTGTTGCAAAAAAGGGTTTTGAGCAACATGTAAAATTGCTTCTGCTTATCTCATTCTTTTACCATAACTTTAAAGACATGAGCTTTGTCATTCTTTTAATCTGTTGTTTACTCCATTCCATGGCTATCATCTTTCATTGGTAATATTGATCTCACCTAACTGCCTTACAATAAGGTAAATCAAGAGTAATATCTTCTTGAATGAAATATGTTAAGCCTAACTGCCTTACACTAAGGTAAATCCTCTTTATCTTTTACAGGCTTCTTTTGTATGCCATAGTAGATTTTGTTCATGAAAATGGTGAAGGGTTTTAAAGATTGTTGGCTCAATACAGCTCCTCTGTTGCAGTTGCAAGGTGGGTTTTTATTCATGTGCTGTATTTACATTGAAATCTAATTGTCTCTGGTAATTAAAGATATAGGGAGGGGTCCAGGTCTAGTGAGTGGGTATCAGTCCCACATCGTCTACTTCATAAAATAACCTATGCTCCTTACATATAAAACGAAAGGACCTCTAATTGCATAGTCTTACGGAGCCGTGTGATGATGACATAGCGAACTATTCTTTCGCCTTTTACTAAAGAATACCGTGTCAGCGTCACAATTTGCGGCATACGATAGTTTTTGGAAGAGTCCTCTTAAACGAGGGTTCTGCAATTTTAGTTCAAGTAAATTTTTCATGCATTACATAAATTTCTGTAAAATACTCAGAATTTTTGATCCCTGTATGCACAAGATTGAAACGATTTGGGACGACGCAAATTAGTCCAAAAACCTAATTTAATTCTTCATGATTATCACACGCCTCGTGACAAGAGGGGATGTGAAGTACTTATAACAGGATGCTTCTAGTATGTTGAATAACAGGATGCTTGTAGTATTTTGAATATTTTGATTTCTGTCATTAACAAGCGCAGCTCGTGGAGGCATGGTGATGAATGAGTAGCTCAGTGCTCTTCTGAGCTCTTATATCATATTAGTGAATGAAACTGAACCATAGAGAGGATCAAAATTGAAAGGAATTTGAGAGAGAAATTGACATTGAAGATTGAATTATGTATTCAACTTTTCAGAATGCATATTACAACTGAAGAAAGTGTTTATATACAAGCTTGTTCTTAACTAACTCGTCCCAATTGTAACTACCTAACTGGAATTAAATTTTTGATCATGAGATGTTCATCAGTGGCTCAGTTTGTATACTATGTATGCTTAAACATCCTGGCGAGGGGTCGTTTATATTTTGTTTGAAAAAGTTAATTTGATCACCTTGTGCAATGAAGAGTAATTTTTTGTTTCATATTTCATTGGTATTTGGTATTTTTGATAAAGTATGTTTTGTCTAACTGTGTATAGTGAATGCATAACCTGTTTTTCTTCTACAGGATTCTTTTGAATGCTATAGCCATGGTAGATTTTGATCAAGAAAATAGTGAGGTCACTAAAGACTTGCTTAAATAAAAGATGGAATAGATCGTTTAACTCAATAAAGCTTCTTTGTTGCAAGGTGAGTTCTTATATATGTTATATGTTTGCGTTGAAATTCAATTGTCTTTGTGTTGATTGTTTTCATCGGAACAAAATATCTTTTGGGTCAAGATGAAATTACTTCGTCTATGTTATTTTCATGTCAATGTTTGCTTAAATGTTAGATTACCTTTGGTCTTTTGGACTCGTCCTTTATGATTCCGTTTACATCATCTTTGTCTTCTAAAGATTTTTCCACTGAAAGGCTTCAGATGTAGTAAAAGTAGAGGTCAAGCTGGGAGTTGAAGATTCAAGAAATTTTGTGACTGGATTAGAAGTAAGTAAAATTCAAGAAATTTGGTACTTGTTTGATGACAGGGCTATTTTTCTACAATTTGCTTGTCTGAGTTGTTGCCAAAATTCCTAGTCCCACATTGCTAATGAGACAAGTTAGATGAATTTGAAGTTATATAAAAAGAAGTTTAGCCCTTCTTTAAAATCATCTTTGCGCTTGGGGCAATGACGCAGCTAGTGAGGTTCTAACTGAGGCGCGTCTATTGCTGGTTGAAAACTATTTCCAAACCCCCTCTTAGGCTTGGGTTCAACTCAAGCCTTAGAGAATTTCTGGAAGGACTCCCTTTGGGGTAAAGTCCTGCAATTTTAGTCTTAACTTTATGTATATATTCAAGGAAGTGAGTTTCCTTTACTTATAGCATATGTCTGCACCAATTGCCGAGGTCACATTCTTCTAACCATTCCCATTTTATGCAGTTATTTTTTCAAACACGTCCTTGTATATAGATTTATAATCAACATTGTTTTAATACAAACGGAGGCAATAGAGTCTCACATTGATTTAATACAAAAACATTATAAACCATGCAATTTTGGAAGCTAATATGAGACTTTATACTCGACTGTTTGATGTGGGACTTTATAAGGAGTAAAAGTCACACTTCGTAAACACAATTTCCATGCTTTTAAGGGATGGTTGGATTTACCTTTGTTGGAAACAGAAATTATATTAGCTGGTTTGCCTAAACTTGAAGCTTCTGATTTGCTTTCATTTTTGCATCAATATGGAACCTATCAAGGCTACTTTGAAATTCTTACAAACAGGCCGGTTTTCAAAAATTGATCATTTATATTAGAGTGCACCTATATTAACTTTCTTAGCATGAAACATCATTTATAAATATATTTCATTCAACTTACTTCTTTTTAGTAGCTTGTTATTTCATTCAATTTGTTAAATATATTTCATTCAACTTAATTTAGAGGTATCATAATCACTTTAATGAATTTGTTCTATTTTTTTTCTGTTTTTCCTGTAATATTGAAAAGTGATTGTGTTCTATCTTTTTCTCAAAATTTTAACGGACACTTTTTAACTCTTGTTTCTTTTCAATTGAACGAAAACTAATATTGTTTAATTCACCAGCTTCATTTGGAACTAATATTGCTATGTGTGTGCCATATCCAAGAGCTTTTTCTATGTCAAGAGCTATGTTGTTGTGTAGTGAAGTTTTGATATTCGATTTATATCCAAGAGCTTTTTCTATGTCAAGAGCTATATGTTGTTGTGTAGTGAAGTTTTGATATTCCAAATCGAAAACTATTCCTCAACTGAAAGATTTTATATAACTCTTTAACATACTACATTTCAAAAGTTGAAACTACAAGAAGAGATGTAAGGCTTAGGCTTTAAAATAATATTTTAATAATTAATATATAAAAAATCACTTGGATTGCCACTTATTCTGTTAGAGAGAATTTTTGTGGGTGGGATATTAGAAATTTAAAGTTTATATCGGAAATTCTTCATAAAAAGTTAAGTAGCATACTAGGAATTTCAAAACTTTTGGGAGACTGAAAATTGTGATCATTCCTGGTAAAAGTTATTTACATTTACAAAATTTTCGAAATTTATAAAGGTTTTCTTATTTGATATTTCAGGTAGTTCAATTTTTTTTTTGAAAATTTTTAAAAATTTCAAAATTTCTGGGACAGTATTCTTATTCTAATATTTTATTTTATTTTTCATTTTTCAGTGAGGACCGGGGGAAGGACGGGTCCATTGGAGGTAGGTTGACCGATACAGCGACAATCCAGGCCAAGGCTGCTGAGGTAGAGTCTTCTCAGGCTACTTCTAAAGTTGTGCTATAAAGATCTCTTGGCAAAGATGGACTCTACTCTTTTGGTTCTCTATAGGCTATGACTTCTTCTATTAGGAATAATGCACCTATTGTTCATATACTCACTAGCAACAATTCTCATTCCAGCAATTTAAGTTCTAATGCAAATAATAGTACCAATTGCTTGGGGTCTTTCTTATATGAGCAATAGCACATAAGATTAGGACACCCTCATCATGAGATTCTTAAATCTGTTCTTTCAAAGTGTAATCTACTTATTTCTCAGCAAATAATAGTACCAATTGCTACCGTATATATTGTAGTTGTTTAGTTGTTGGCATATATTTTTGGTAAAACCAGGTGTGTGAATGTCATGACTGATGTCATAACATTCTAGTTTATTAGGTACTGATTCTGTAGGTACCTTTGCAGAAAAATATTGTCATACAGGTGCTGCTGCTTATGAATGTGTATCTGAGCATTTTGCAAAAAGATCACATTTACCAAAATCAGTAGACAGGATTTCAGAGAAAAATATTGTCATACAGGTGCTGCTGCTTATGAATGTGTATCTGAGCATTTTGCAAAAAGATCACATTTACCAAAATCAGTAGACAGGATTTCAGATGTCATAACAAATGTTAAGACATCCTGTTCTGAACTAACAGTTATGCAGTTTGGGTAATTCTGAGTTTTTTCAGGAAAATGACTCAGTCTTTCCAGAACAGAAAATCTCGTGGACTTAGGGTTAACATAGCTCAACCCTAACCTGGTTGATAAAGTCCCGTGACCTAGTCTTAAGGTCAAACGGAATTAACCCTAACTTTTTGTGGAAACCCTAACTGAAGATGCAGCTGCTATATATTCAACAGGGCTGCTGTTTTGAATGTACCCTTTTTTGACAGAAGATCATTTAGAAGCTGTATAGTTTTAACTATTGTAATCCAAGCAATTATCATTGTGATAAGTGACTTGGAATAGGTTTTAATTGTAAGGGTTGTGTATCACTTAAAGCTTTGAAGCAAGAGTGTTTTTGTGTCTCTTGACTAAAGTTTTGAAGCAAAGTCAAGTTAGGTTTATGTATCACTCAAAGCTGTGAAACAAGAGTGTTTGTGTTGCTTGATTAAAAAGCTGTGAAGCATAATCAAGTGTATGTTTTGAAGAGTGTCTTCATCAATTCATTAGTCAAATTGTTTTAAGTATCACTGCTGTGATTGAGGGGGAGTGAGTAGGAACTCAGGTCTAAGTTGTACTTAGATTGAAGTTGCATTGGGTAGGTCTTAAGTGAAGGAGATAAACTGGTTGGTTTATTCCTGAATTAATATCTCTTATAGTGGATTTCCTCCCTGGCTTGGTAGCCCCCAGAGTAGGTGTTGTTGCACACTGAACTGGGTAAACAATTGACTGTGTTCTTTACTGTCTTTTTGTATTTACTGTCTTATAGAAAGTCAGATACGGTGTCATAACATTGAACGTGACATTGAGTATCTGCAGCCAGAATTTCAATTGGCATCAGAGCAGGCACCCTGCCTGTATTACTGGGTGAGATCTAGGGATATCACTTTCTGGCACTATGGACAAAGAAGGAGTTTTTGGAAATAGACCACCCATTCTGGATGGAATAAATTATGACTACTGGAAACCTCGTATGATAGCCTTCTTAAAATCTCTGGACAAAAAGGCTTGGAGAGCTGCTGACAAAGGATGGAACCATCCCACCATAACTGAGAAAGATGGGACAATCAGTCTGAAGCCTGAGGAAGATTGGAGTAAAGAAGAAGATGAGTTAGCCCTGGGAAATTCCAAAGCTTTAAATGCCTTGTTCAATGGAATTGATAGAAACATTTTCAGACTAGTACATCAATATGATCTGGCCAAGGAAGTTTGAGACACTCTCAAAACTACTCATGAGGGCACTTCCAAAGTGAAAATGTCAAGGCTTCAGATGTTGACTACCAAGTTTGAGAATCTAAAAATGATGGAAGATGAAACCATTCATGAGTTTCACATGAACATCTTGGAGATTTCCAACACCTCAGGAGCACTGGGAGAAAAGATGTCAGAAGAAAAATTGGTGAGAAAGATTCTCAGATCCTTGCCTAAAAGATTTGCTATGAAGGTAACTGCCATAGAGGAAGCCCAGGACATCAGCAAGTTGAAAGTGGATGAACTAATTGGGTCTCTTCAGACTTTTGAGATGGGGATCACTGATAATGGTGACAAGAAGAACAAGAGCATAGCACTTGTATCCAACACTGATGTTGAAAACAAGGAGGATGAAGAAGAAAATATTTCAGAAGCTATAGCCATGCTTGGAAGACAATTCAACAAACTCATCAAAAGAATAGATCCAAAGTCAAGGTCTAATGTTCATAACATTCCCTCTGACATTGACAGTTCCAGCAGAAGACCAAGGTCAGAAGAGAAGGGAAATCAAGGCAGAGGAATTTAATGCCATGGTTGTGAAGGATATGGGCATATTCGAGCTGAATGTCCTACCTTTCTTAAAAAACAAAAGAAAGGAATGACTGTTACTTGGTCTGACTGTGATTCAGAAAGTAATTCTGAAGAAGAATCTGCCAAACTAGTTACTGCTCTAACTAGTGTTTGTACCTCTGAAAGTGACACTAGTGATGAAGAAGTGACATTTGAAGAACTGGCTGATACTTACAAGAAATTGTGTATCAGAAGTGCTGAAGTCTGTGTGCAGAATGAGAAACAATCAAGACTCATCATAAAGCTGGAGGCTGAAAAAAGGGCAGACCTTGAAACTATAAGTCATCTAGAAGGGGAAGTTCAATTGCTGAACTCACAACTGAACCAAATGACCAAATCTGTCAAGATGCTGACTAATGGAACAGACAAATTGGAAGAGATTCTTCAAGTTGGACAAAATGTGGGAAACAAATCTGGACTAGGATTTGTGGAAGCTAAGAAATCTGGTGCAGACAAGAAGATCAGGCCTGTTAAACAAATGTCAAAGCAGATGTCTCAACACAACTCTCAACATCAGAAACAAAGATATATGAAGAAAAGGTACCAAAGATGGAGATGTCATCATTGTGGGAGATATGGCCACATAAAGCCTTTCTGCTTCAGATTACATGGATACCCTAATCAGAACTCAGGTGTCAAACCTAAGT